AAAATTTTTTTGAATTATATAAATATATATAGCACATTACGATAAAGAGTGTGACATATATGTAAGTGTGCCACTACATTTTCAGCTAAATGTCCCTCAGCCAAATGTCCACATAGCCTGGTCCTTTATGCTAATCCAGGTGACCTATGGGGAGTAAGCCTACCATCTTTGACCAGAGTAAAAGCCAGATATATATCTGCCTTTTTGATTCTACTGTAAACCTGACCTTTGTCTACCTTTTTGATACTGATGTAAAGTGGGCATTTTTGACTCTAGTATAAACCAGACATAAGTCCATGCACACCAGACCTATGTCTACCATTTTGATTCTCGTGTAAACCAGATCTATGTCTACGTATCTATTCATTTGTCATCGAAAATGAATCAATAATTCAAAACAATTCAAATTGATCATTTTGATGACGACATAGTATAGTATATGCTACACAGGGATTTGAATTCAGAGTTCTTTCTTTCTCCTAGATTGTAAAAAAAAAAGAAACAATAATGCATATGAATATATAGCGATTTTCCAAGTGTAGCTTAGATGTGGCACAAGGCCGAAAGTGTGGGGCACCTAGTGAGGATCGAACTCACTACTCATTCATAATTGTATTAGCAAGACAAGCTTGCTAACCATTACACCACCACAGGGTAACAATATATAGTGATTTTCTAAGAATAGCTTAGATATGGCACAAGGCCAAAAGTAGGAGGGCATGCAGTGAGGATTGAACTCACTACTCAGTCATAATTATTCTAGTGGGACAAGCTTGCTAACCATTACAGCACCTCAAGGCGCCTTGCAATTTTCCAAGTGTAGCTTAGATGTGACACAAGGCCCAAACCATGGAGCAACCAGTGAGAATCAAACTCATCATTCAGTCATCATTGTCCTAGGGAGACAAGCTTGCTCACCATTACACCGCCTCGAGGTGCCCATGCATGTGAATATATATATATTGACATGCATCATTGTTTACTTATTTATTGTTTACTTATGTATACTTATATATTAAGCTTAGCATAGTCTGGCATAAGACTACAGTAATGGGGAACTCCGTGAAGATCAAATTCATTACATTCTCAAATTGGTCAGCAAGAGGAGCTTGCTAACCATTTTACCTGACATGTATATACATTAGGCTGAGTCATAAGTAATTTCCGTTTTTGGGAACCACCTGTAATAATAAATATATCACCCTAACTGCTAATCACACCTGGCAGGTAAGAATAAATTTAGTGGACACTAACATACCTTAGTTTTTCACAGTAATGGCAGCGTACACAGTGGATTAAAGGAAAAAATGTTTTTCTCCTCTGTGACTATGCAAATTAATATTATTTTGAGTTATATGTAATTTATAATACAACACACTTTGATGCTAATTCAATCTGGTCAGTAGTAACTAGATGATGTGACCCTTGTCACATGGCACATAGGACAAGTTGATTGCAGGGACAATTCCATGCTGATTCATACTATCGCTGGTCAACAGTCGTTTGCTGCTGTTCACCCTGGTCCACACCTTGCTCCATCCACATTGTGTTTTTTGAACTGGCAGGGATTGTGTAACATCAGTAATTGTAGTGCTGGTTCAAACCACAGTGAAGCTATGTTATGATAGGGAAAAAATAGAAATGTCTTTGCAGATAAAATAAAAATGGAAACTTGCTCAGGTTAATTTTCAATTTGGTTTATGTAATTCTTTCTATAACAAAAATTAACTGTTCCCACTATAATCTCTTTAGTGATAGTTTGCCTATCAGTGCTAATTTTTGGAACAGGGCCCAAAGTCAGGGATTCTCTCAACAGCAAGTTACATGAATCTCAGTTGCACTTTTGTCTACCCTTCACCAGTATCTCTCTCTCTCTCTCTCTCTGCCTGGGTTGCTTAAGTGTTCTGCTTATATTGACTTTTACTCAAGACTGAAGTGGGGGCTGACAGTGTTTGGGAATTTGAGAGTTCTCCCAATTTTTCTATCAATTTAAGCAAGAGTTCTTAGTTGTCTGGTTCGCAATATTAATTATCTCTCCAAATTTGGGATATTCCTTCTTCCTACAGTTAGTGGTTGCAGGTATTGGCCTGCCCATATAACTAATTCCTTCTCTTATTTATGCCTTGCACCATTACTTCAAAATGAGCATAGGTAATTCCCTTGTCTCTCTTAGTATCTCATCTAAGCCTGTCACCTCAGCTGTCTCTTTGACAAATCTGATTTTTCAACAGCATAGATGAAAAGGCAGTCTTAACTTTTAGTCATTAATTGTAATTATCTAAATTTTCAACAATTTTTTTTCTTCACAGCCCCTGGTCTTGTTTATGAAAACAGAGATTTACCAGCTGTTACTTTTGACCTGTTAATGGTAAATATTTGTCTTCGTGTCTTGTTTGCTTAATGGTACTTATGAACCTTATAGGTTTGTTCCCTATCTCGAAAAATCCAGTTTCTCAGTTTGTTTATATTTCCACTCTTTGACAGACAGGCATAAATCAATTTCTCAATTCTACCCACATTTTCAAAATTACCAAATATTATCTCTCAATTGACCGTTTCTTTCATCTGGAAATTATGAGATATGTTTTCCTTCGTAACTTCCACTTTAGTAAGCGGACATAAATCAACTTCTCCGTTTCTGCTTTCGTTTCCAAAATTCTCAACTGACTTTGAATATTTTCATTATTCCTCATCAACCCTTGTGGGTTTATATCTTCCAGAGAGCCTTTTGATAATATCTTTTCCCAAAACCAATAAAGTCATTCCTCTCAGATCTGTCTTTTTTTCTTTATTTCAGTTTATATGTTATTCTATACTGTTAAACATTTTCATCCGTTCCAGTTCATATTCTAAATTAACCCTTTCCTTTTATTAGTGTCACAATTTCAATTTTTGGTAATCAATTGTAATTACAAATGTATCATCCTAACTAGAATAAATTTGAATTGCACTAAAATACCTTAATTTTTGTACAGCAGTAGCAGCATACACGGTGGATTCTAGAGATATTGTGTCTGTTTCTCATCTAGTACTGTTCAGTTATTGCCTTGCTTTGTTTCCAATGAGATCAAGGAATTCAAGTAATGTAAATAATAAAATAATATTTAAGAGAAGTTATAGAAGTAATTATATATATATATGGGTGGGTATATGTGTGTAGGGAGCTAATTGTACCAAGAATTGGGGTTAAAATTTTTGAAAGAAATTAGTAAAAAAAAAAAATAAAGACAATTCCTGGCTAAAACTCGTTGAATACCACCTGAAAACATCCACACTTTACAGGTTACCAAAAATACATAAACTGGGCATCCTGATGACACCCATTATATCAAGAATAGACAGAGTGCCACATAAACTAGCTGGCATACTAACTATATATATATATATATATATATATATATATATATATATATATATATATATTCAATATCTGTCTATATCTCTGAGATGTGGTATTATGATTACTTGCATTATTTACATTATTCAAACTGTTATCCTCATCTTCATTGCCATATTCACAACGTTCAGGCCACGGGAGTGGTGAACCAAAAATTGGGGAGTTGAGTTAAAGGGAAATAACTGAGACATCTGGAAGAGGCATGACAGTTGGAACTTGAACAATCTATCCCACTGGATGAAATAAAAGGTTCAGTTCAAAATTCCAATCACCTGAAGAAGGCCAGAGCGTACAACAGCCGAAACATTGTGAATATGGCAATGAAGATGAGGATAACAATCCAAATAATGTAAATAATGCTTATATAAAGAAATAATCATACATAGAATCAATCAACAATATTAATGCGATTAATGGCAAAATCACTTCGCTAGTAGAACATAATGTATGCATCAAAATACTGTTAATACATTGAATGATGTGATCCTCATTTATAAAACTGTTGTCAGATGTTTCTTGTGTATATTTTTAAGTTAAGCAAGTACTTTTGAAGATCTCTGTCTTCATCGTCAGCTGTAGCTTTTTCCTTTAAAGTTAAAACTTGAAGACGAAATAATTGTTTGTAGACCGAAAGATGTTTTTTAAGAATGTGCTATTTATTGACAATTGTACAATCTCGGAATGTGCGAGTCGCAACGCTAAAATTCAAAATTTCAAGTGAGAATTTTTATATGAAATTTGTAATATCGTAAATCCACAAATTCTTTTTTTGCAAGTGCTGCCTAGTATTATATGTTTATATATATATATATATATATATGCTCTCCAATTTCTCAATATGTGCCACTGTCTCTTATACCGCACATACATACATACATATATATATATATATATATATATATATATACAAGTTTGATTGCCAATATGTTTCATCCCCAAAGGAACTTTACCTTGAGAAAGGCTACTGCTTGTGATTTGAATCATACATACAATCAGAAAGAGATGGTTGAAATTTCTGGGGAACATAATGAGGAAAGAGGGCTTTAAGAATTTAACACCCACAGAACATACTGAAGGCAAAGAAGAGCTGAAGGAAACAACAAGTAACCTTTTACTGTGATCACCTACTGAATGAGTTTGTGTGAATCAATGACAGAAGAAGAACAAAAGAACCAACTCCCAAGAGGATGCTTCCCTGATCAATGCAATCTTAACCTGTTCAAGTCTAGAGCTAAGTGTTATCTTCCCCACATATCCTCATAAATTGTGTCTCTTATTCTGTAACTCTCTACCTCAAGTGGCTCTTGGGCCTTGTACAGTGTATATATCTTTGTTAAAATAAAAAGGCAGGTTGATGTGGATTGATTCATTCATTTTCTAAAGCTTACCAACCCTTTGCATGTTATTTAAAACCAAAAAATATTTTTAGATTGTAAGAATTTAATTTTTTGTATGTTTTGGAGATAATAATGATTAACCCATAGCTGGGGGAGAAAAGATGTTCATACCTTTCCCAAGTGTATTTGTGTGTAAGTGAATGTAACAAACCCAACTGGAATTGGAAGTTGGCTCTTCGATTAACAATTCCATTTATACATCCAAGCTTACAGCACCTGGTATTTACAAGTGGTCGCCTATCTCAGTACTAACTAAGCTCAATGTTGCTTAACTTTGGTGATCATACAGAAACTGGTGTTTGAACATGATGTGGCCATAAGCCCAGGATGATGTAGAGAGCCATGATCATCTATATATACCTTTCAGTATTGTGTTCATTCCCCAAATTCTAACATCAGTCTCCACTCAATTTTCATTACATTGCCTTTTAGCATTGATATTTATTAAAGTTTCATAGGGTGGCTACAAGTATGAGGCACCTAGTGAGGATCAAACACAGTAGTAATGGTCAACCAGACTAGCACATTAACCATTACCCCTACATTATTTTTTATAGTTAATAACTATGACAATCAGTTATGTGTTATGCATGATACACACTTAGGTGATCATGTATCTTTCGATACATGACTGACATGGAGGATTTTTTCCCACAGTAGGTTGTCATTTCTTTCTGCAATTGACCAGTTGCCATCTAAGGCTATAGAACCCGGTCTGTCCTGCTATTTACCCATAGCTGGAGGGAGAAGAAAAGGATTCATACCTTTCCCAAGGGTATTAGCCTTTAAGTGAATGTAATGGATTCAACTAGATTTTGAACTCGGCTCTTTGATTCATCAATCTGAGTCGACATCCATTACTCCACCTTGCTGCCTATTAACTATGACAATACAGTTACTATAATGTCAGACTAGATAGAAATGGCTGAGGTAAAATTATAGGTTATGATAGTGAACGGTGATGAAATTAGCTTGCAGGAAACCTTGCACCTCAAACACTGGGCAATTGTTTAAGCTCTTTTTTTTAAAAAAATTTTCAAAGAAATAAATTGTCACTTATTGATAACTATTTTAAATGAAATGGAGATATTTTATAATTTAAAAAATTTACTGAATGAACAGTTGATTCATCAAATATATTGGGTCTATTTAGGCAAAATGTTTGTTACTTTTATCAGACATTGAGTTTGGGATTTCACATTATAAAACTGTCTTTTGGGATCTCTGTAAACATTGGTTTCGGTGCTTGGCACGTACTTCTTCTGCACCAACTTTCTGGCTCTTTGACAAAAAGGTTAAAAAGGTTAGTCATTGTAGCCAATCATATTGCTAGATTCTTTTGGCAACTTTCCAATCAAAAGTAGGCCAGCCTGTAACACTGCCACTTATAGAATTTAGATTACATTCAATTTTAGACTTGGGGGATATTTCAATAATTGATCACTTTATTTTGGAAAGAGGGAACTATGGAGTTTTATGATATTGAATGCATGTATGCTTTAATTTTAAAAAAATATAATTCAATCATTTTACTCCAAACAAAATGATAAAATCTACTAAGATGCAAGGGGTTACTGAGAGTGAAAGAGAATAAGAAGACATTATTGAGCATAGGACAATAAAAGAACAGAATTAAAAAAAAAAAAAGATAATTAAGATTAAGGTTACATTTTAAACTTTTCAAAATCATAGTTGACAGGATATCATTGATAGAAACCACACTTCCTGTAACATTTTTATAAAGCACACATGAAGTCAATATACTAAGATTCCATAGTTTCCTCCATTTTTTACTACATATAAAACTCCATACTTAGCCCCATTTTTTTACCAAGTCTAAAAATGTATAGTTACCTCCATTTTTTTTTCCAAATGTAAAACTCCACACTTACCCTATTTTTTTCCAAATGTAAAACTCCACTCTTACCCCCATTTTTTTACCAAGTCTAAAAATGTAGAGTTACCCCCATTTTTTTCCAAGTGTAAAATTCCACTCTTACCCCCATTTCTTTACCAAGTCTAAAAATGTATAGTTACCACCATTTTTTACCAAGTGTAAAACTCCACTCTTACCCCCATTTTTTTTACCAAGTCTAAGAATGTATAGTTACCTCCATTTTTTTCCAAGTGTAAAATTCGATAAATGTTTATCCCCATTTCTTTACCAAGTTTAAAAAATGTATAGTTACCTCCATTTTTTACCAAGTGTAAAACTCCATTCTTACCACCATTTTTTTTACCAAGTCTAAAAATGTATAGTTACCTCCATTTTTTCCAAGTGTAAAACACCATTCTTACCACCATTTTTTTACCAAGTCTAAAAATGTATAGTTACCTCCATTTTTCCAAGTATAAAACTCCATTCTTACCTCCTTTTTTTTGCCAAGTCTAAAACTCCATACTTACCTCCACTTTTTACAAAGTCTAAAATTGCCTGTAATCTAAAGCATAATAAGTATCAAAATCAAAAGAAGAATGTTATTCAGTTCTGACCTGGCATTTTGGCTTCAACCACCTTAACATATCTTCCCTATGCTTTTTCTTGAAATACTTTCATGGTACCTATCAATGGCCAACATTTCATCTTTCATCTCCCAAAAAAACGTAATTCTACCACTAATTTTAAAAAACAAAAAAAAACATACTACAGCTAAAATTTGAGTATAAGGATGCAGTGTTGTCCTGGGTCAAGAGGGTGACTGCTGGAAGACCCTATCTCTGGCAACAGGACTCTGCATCATGCCACACAAGCAATTGAACAAAGTCACAGCTGTCAGACAATATCTGCAACCACATCACCGCTTACATCTTGGCCACCTAACTCCCCAGACTGCAACCTCCTTGATTATTATGTATGGAGCACAGTTGAGCAAGAGACCAACAAAACTCCTTGTAGCACCAAAGATAAACTGAAGGCAAAGATTATGGCAGTATTCACCAACTTAAACGAGACTGTGCAGGAGAGTTGCAGCAGATTCCAAAGTCATCTGGAGGCTGTGGTTGAAGCCAGTGGTGATTTTATTGAATATATTTATTCTTTAGTATTTCAAGATATTTTTTGTGTAATTTTGGTAAATATATAGGTTAAAATGAGATGTCAATGCTATTTTCATTTTTGCATAATTTAGACGGCAATTTGTCCATCGCTCCCTCTGTGTGTATGTATGTGTGTGTGTTTATATATATATTGACTCAGTTAAAAAAACATCCTTAATAACAGCTAATAGAATAGCTGAAAGCGCTCATATATATGGGACATTGTGACAGTTTTTACACACTTTATGTCCAGCAAAAACTTGTACGAGCGCAAGAAAAGCTTAATTACAATACATTATCAGTTATCTTTAATTAAACTTGTATAAAAGATGGGTTGCTACCCAAATGCACAATACATATACACATATCTATATCTATATCTATATATATATATATATATATATATATATATATATATATATATATGTGTGTGTGTGTGTGTGTATGCGCCTTATCATCACTTATTAGTTTTAGTGATGTATGGTGAACTTATTTCTATGATACATAGACTTTATGAATTTAAGCACTAGATTACAAGATTGGCAGTTAGGTCTCATTATTTTACAGTTCAAATTGTATGATGTAACTGTAAGTTCTATGCTAACAGTTTCTTCTCTCACACCTCTTGCTTGTGGAACTTTTCCAGCTTCTTGCTTTCCAGTGAACTTTGATCTTCAAAAATTTAAATGCAATGTCAATCATTATCTATTATCTTGTTAATTCTTATTCTTTTATTGTCCTCTTTCTTTAATAGTATTTTTCTCATATTCTCTAACACTCAGTAACCTCTTTATTGCTTGCTTTTGTTGGAGTGAAAAAAAAAGAATGTATATTTGAACCTGCATGCTTATTTTAAAAGTTGAAAAATTCCCACTGACCTGACTATTCCAGACATTACTTTTATTTTAGTACAAAAGAGTAGGGAGAAAAATGGTGAATACTCGTAGAGACCTACAGTCACTTGGGGTGAAATAATTTTAAAAAAATAATAATATATCCTCTTCATAACCCTCCACCCAATAGGTTATCAAATGAAACAGCAGGGTAAGTAAAAATCTGTACTTTTTTATGGTCACTCAGAATAGGAATGACTATCAGAGATTTTTTTCTCTCTTGGCCTTTTTAATAGCTTTATTGACTTAAAGGTTGCTTGGAACCTTTGACCAGGTCTATTTTGCAATGAATTTGCCTGCGAAAATGTAAGCAAGCCATCTGTATTGAATTTCATTTTAATTTATGCATCTGTAGCTAAATATATTAATTGATTATCATAGTTTGTGTTTATAATATTATTCCTTCTTCTCGACTAGTTGCATTTAACAGAATTTGCTTTCTGACTTGTCAGCATTTATCAGCTGATTGAAAATTCTTGGAATTTTCTCTATTTCAAGAGAGGAAACCTTCACTTTTTCCAAAATATTTGCATCTTCTCTTCCTTGATTGACATCCCCACCCTACCATTTGTCTATTACAAATTGGAGATGCCAAAATCAAACAAACATAAAAATTTAAATATCTGGGAAGTGTTTTAACAGAGGACAGAAAGTGTGACACTGAAATCCAAAGGAGCATTGGGATAGCCAAAGATGCCTTCCAAAAGCTAAGCTGAGTATTAAGAAACAGAAAAATTACATTAGAAACAAAGAAAATAGTACTGAACTGTTATGTAACATCAGTCTTCCTATATGGCAGTAAGGTAAAGACAATCTTTTCACAGATGAAGAGGAGACTTGAGGCAGCAGAAATATGGTTGTACAGGAGGATGCTGAGGATAGCATGGCCCAAACATGTGTGCAAAGTTTTAGAGAAAATGGAATATCAGGAAAAGAGAGTTTAAATTTTTAGGGCAAATGATGAGGAAAGAGGGCTTGGAAAATCTGATACTCACAGAACAGATTGAAAGCAAGAGGGACAGAGGAAAACAATGCATAACCTACCTAAGAAGCCTGAGTAAATGGATGACAGAACAAGGTTTAGGAGAAAAGACAAAATTTATTAAGAGCTACAAAGGACTAGAAGTTGTGGAGAGCTGTGATTGCCAATAACCTGAAGGAACATGGCAGAAATTGACTTGCTTAATGCAGTCAATATTTTCCTGTTTTTATACAGAAACTTGTTCTGCTTCTATGCTTCTTTGAGTTGCCAGCCAGTTTCAATAACCAATCAATTGTCTGACCTTTGTAACCTCCTCTTGTGATATTTTATGTTAAACATATCAATTAGTTCCCAATAGGATAGGCACCAGATTTTTTAACATTTTCATCTTTTCCAAGTGTAATTCAC